CAAATGAATTGCAAAAGGTCAGATGGTTTTTGCTTTCACAGGAGCACTACTGAACACACATATGCTTTCTATTTCTTGACCTTTCTCTCTTCTACCTTCTCAAACACTCGCATACAAACACAAAAACATACAGCACACCCAGACTGAATGTGGGGCTTCAGCGGGAGGCATGACAGTGTTGATTTGTAAGGTTTCCTGCTGCAGTGCTGTGAAGTTTGGGGACAAATCAATCTGATCCCTGCACAGACCTGTCTGCCTCTCCTACTGAAAAATGACCTCTCAGAACGGATCAACTGACATGGAGACAAGCTGTGTGTGTGTGTGTGTGTGTGTGTGTACAGACAGAGAGAGAGATGTAAGATGTGAGAATGTAAGATCTAAGCAAGCATGTGTGGGTGTTTGGGTGAGCAGATGTGTCAGAACTGCACAATTAATGATAACAAAAAAGAAATTCTGCCCCTGAACTCAGAGCACAAATAAACTGAACAGAACTCAAAAGTTGGACCATTTTACCTCGACATGCCATAGACTAAATACACGGCACTCATGGAGTGAGACGCTATAAAACAAAGAGAAGAGGCTCATCTGTATGTGTACATAGACCAACAACAATCTCTCTGTATTAATATGATTGATTATAAAGTGCCATTTAGCTTGGAAAAGGCACTGTATAAAAAATATTATTAACAAACAAAAAAATCTTGTAAACAGAATACAAGATCACATCCCGTTCAAATGGCCCTTAAAAACAGACTGTTTTAAAAAAATACTGCTGTTGTTGTTGCTCAAAGAAATGGATCTATAACAAAAATATTACAATATATATGACTACGCAATGCTTTCAACCGACACAATAATATAGTGCCTTTAAATTACTTTAATTTGCACATTTTCCCAGCAAAATATGTGATTTAATTCATCAGCAGTTCGCTTAATTTTAATGGATTGATACTAGCCATACTTAAAAATGACCATTTTTGCCCTCACTGTAAAAAAAGATTTTTTCAAAGTTAAAGTAAATAAAACAAGAAAATACAATTTCATCCTTTTTACTTCAAAATCAGCCGTTTCTTTGAAATTTAGTAGCAATTTCTGAATAAACATTTTTTCAAAGTTTTTTTTCACAAACCAATTTTCAAACCAATAAAGATGTTGAGTTTGAGAAGTGTCCTTGATTTACTCCTTTACATAACTCAAACACTTCAATAACCAGGTGACCTATACATTCTCAAACATCTCTGTATTAATAATCCATTTCTCATGCTGATCAACTCAAAACTAACAGACCTTCGACCCCTTTAGGCTCTGCGTGAGCTGTTCTTACTGCTAATCGCAAACTTTGCCATAAAACTTTTTTGACTAGTCACCCGCTCTGTTCCCCTCCAGCGGCCCATGGCCGACCCTGCGGCTACACTTGTCCTCTCGGGCCGCCGGGGTCGGCTGCGTTGCCCCGGAGTGGGTCCAGTCGTCCGCCTCCCTGGTGCTCGGGTAATGGACTGGCAGGAAACCGGCTTCCTCCGAGCGCTGGAGACACTGTAAAACGTTAATGGCTCACCGTGGGGATCCGCGGTTGAGCCGGGGCCCCCGAACCAACCCCATTATTCATTAGGCGAGAACGTTATTTATTGCCTCCCGGCACAAACACAACAAGCCAATTAATAATTAAGCATTTCTATCCGCCTCTGTACCAGTGTGCGCAGATGAGGAGGACAGGAGATATGAGCGCGAGCGTGAGATATGGGCGGCCGTGAGCAGCATAACTTCAGCACTATTAAGGAAAATGGCAGTTAAGACCCAACCGTTGTCTGGAGAGACTCGGAGCCAAATCCAAATGAAGCGAAGCGGAACCGCCGCTGTGGCTTTTGTCCAAAATCTAGCGCTCTAAATCCAGCCTCCTGTACATTTAGTAATGAATATCAATAAATAATGTCAATATAAATCTGATGAACAGGGCCGAATCTGAGTTTTCTTTTTTTTTTATATATATATACATACACTGTATATAAACTACAGGTCTTCTAATTAAAAGAAAAACAATACGTGCCCCCTGCACAGGCTTTGAATGGATGGAGAGAGTAATTTATCTCAGTTCGACCATCTCAGGAGTTCTGGATGCCCAGAATAAAACTACAAACATCTCTGCACAGGTTTTACAAGATAATTTACATGAAGTGAATTCACATGAAAATATAGATGCACATAGTTCACACTATGAGCAGGTCACATTGAAGGTCACACAACTAAGATGCATTAACATCCACAATTACATCCAAATGGTAATTAATCTACACAAAACGGAGCCTAAACCTCAAATTGCAGACTATTAATCATGTAATCACTTGGATTCAGTCAGGTTTACTGAATAGACCAATTATAGGTTTGTAAACATTCAGGATGCGCGCGCATCATGGTTGCAGAAAACCCGGGAGAGATAGCCTTTACGGCTAGAGAATTTCACGGATAGGGTACAAAATAGTTAGGTTTAAAAAGATTATAAATTATATTGATTAGATGTCATTTTCAGAATGTTCTCCGCATATTACAAGAGCTTGTCACCCATAAGCACTGACTGTTATTCAACGAAATTGACGTTAGAGAGTGCGATAGTCTTACAGAGCCGAAACAGGGATGACGTTTTTTTGTGGGCGGAGCCTATCTGGAGGCAGAAAATGACGGTTTTCAAGTAGCAGTCTATGTGACGTTAGAGCGTGGGATAGTCTTACAGATCCGAAACAGGGATGGCGTTTTTTGTGGGCGGAGCCTATCTGGAGGTAGAAAATGACGGTTTTCAAGCGGCAGTCTATGGAGCAATGGAATAAAAGAATTTTAAAAAAGGTAAATTTGATTTTATATTTCAAAATTCTGACTTTATTCTCGCAATTCCGAGACTATATCTCACAATTCTAATAAGGAAAAACAACTCGTCATTCTCTCTTTTCCCCT